TGTGTGTGTGTGTGTGACAGTAGTGTTTCAGTTGGTGGTTTGTCTACCTGTCTCCAAACAGCACCTCTCTCAGGCCCCTTTGATCTGAACACTGAACCTGCCCTGCTCTCCCAAAGTGAGACAGGCAGCCTTGTGATCCTTTAAACAACCTGTCTGTGTGTGTCTGTGTGTCTGTGTGGATGCGTTCATGTGCACGTATACTTTTGCCTGTGTGTTGGTGCTCTGCAGGCCTATTTAATGCTTAAATAAAGACTCAGTTTTCCACCGGAGACATCACCCCAGTCTGTGTCTATGGGGAGCTGAGCTGCTACTGAGCTTTCTCTGTTCTGTAGGCCTGATAAAAGCATTGCCACAGTTCAGACACCAGCTCAGCAATTCATATAGACAGAGCTGAAGATGAGCCATAAATCATAGAACAAAGTGAACGGCCTTTCCCCCCCTTCTTCCCCTCATTCTCTTCTGTGTGAGTGGTATGCTTCACTTGTGACCTTCTCTCTTCTTTCTCCTGCATGTTTGTGTTTTTCGCAGCACTCCTACTTCATCGCCCCGGATATCAATGGACTGCCAACGATCCCTGAGAGTGTAAGTATTCATGGAAAAAGAAAAGAAAAGAGATGAGGAGATAAAGAGAGATCCCTCTCTTCTGGAAACACGTCTGTCTCTAATCGTTTTTAATCAGATACACTTGTCACCTTTTGAAATTATTGCATCATCCTCTTGTTTTAGTTTTATCTCCTGTGGTGCTTGTACTTTTAATGCTTCAGTGATTGCCATGGGTATTAGATGATTCAAACTGAACACATGTTCTTTGTTGATTTTGTATTCGAATTGTAGCTCAAGTAGAGCATCCCAAGTCTCTATTGCATGCTACATCGGATGAAAACAGTAATCAATCTGACATATTTAAGCAGCATTAATTGATATGTTAACTATTTTACAAACATGACTACATCAGATGGATCAAAGGCACAAATGTCGTTTGAATCTGTATTTCTTATGAATTTACTTTTGCTGCAAAACAATATGCACAGAGATGGGGAGTCCAAGTCATTTTTCAGCCTGTACTGCATGTCTCTCTTCATGGCACACTCTGGCACTCTCACAGTCTGTAGCATTGACACTTTCTACTGTAAGCAAGTTGTGCAAGGACAGTTTTTTATGTACCTGCATATCCTTCTGTTCCTGTCTATCTCCAGAGGAACCTGACAGAGTACTTTGTGGCTGTGGACGTCAACAACATGCTCCAGCTCTACGCCAGTATGCTGCATGAGCGGCGCATCATCATTACCTCAAGCAAGCTTAGCACTGTGAGTCCATTCCCTCCAAGTCAGTCTCTCAGCTGCAGTCAGTTATCAGCTCTTCCCTGTCAGACACAAGGGGAAAATAGGTTAGAAAACAGTTGAAGTACTGCAACCACTTGAAGGACGAGTTTCCTAAATATATATTTCAAGTTAAGGGGAAGCTTTTAGTTGTAAATGTTAAGCTTTATGTTTTATTACGTCATGTTAGATAATGTATTATCTATTCTTTGATTCTTGTAGGCTATCTCACTTTAATCCGAAAAAGTACATCATAATCTGAGAAAATGCTACTTTAATTTAGAGTCATAGAGTTACTGTTGCTATTTTTGGCTTCATATCAAATTCAGACACAGATTTGCCTTCTTAAAAAAGTATATAGCTCAAATATTAGGACTGTTTCTTAGATTGAACATGATTCTCTTCATCAATATTCCAGCAGGATATCAAACCCTAAATAGGGAGATGAGAATATTTATCTGACATGGCTACGCTACTTGTACGGAGAGAGTTGGACTGATCTCTCTGAACCCCCCCACCCCTCTTTGCCCGGGCGTCCTGCAGTCAGACAGCCGCACTATCACCACGCTCTGACAAGCTGTGAAATCCACACTAAAGCTGGATTATATTTGACTGTTTGTCTTATAACTGCAGCATATTAATGGCCCAAGAGCCTTAAATTATCTCTTATTACATGTTGTAACTCTCTCACATAATTTAAAGTCCCCTCTGTCTGTCTTTATGAGGGAGGAAATCTCTCTGTGTCTTTCTCCCCCTCTTCCTCCCTCTGTTCCTCATTCCATCCTCCCCCCCCCGTTATCTTCGTGGCTGCTGAGGCAGTGCCAAATGTTTATGACAGATGAGATGGGAGAGGGAAGTGATGTCATCCAAGTCCTATCTGTATCTGTAGTGTAGCTGGTCCTGCCTTGGTATCTACAAGGCTGCAGAACACTGAACAGCCGGAGGGGCCTGTGGTGGTGATGGGTGCTGGAGGGAATGGTTCTCAAGGTCTCCCATAGGAGCTATAATCAGGAAGAGCTGTAAAAATTACCCAGCCCTCAGAGAATTTCACCTGTCTCCCCTCAGCTCCTCAGACCAGCAGCACCTCCGCTCAGGGTTTAGGCTGCACACGGTGCTGTGACACAAGAGTTACACGATGTAAATTATCAGACTCAAGGGTGAAGGTGTTTTTCTTTTTAGCAGGAAAAGGGGGGTGAAGGTGATTTTTGTCTGTGATTTATAGTTTTCTGCAGCCTAGAGACTAATCTTGGCTTGTTTTTTTTTTAAAACAAATTTATGCATACAGAATTTTTTAAGAGTCTCCACATTAGACCTTTACCTCTGTAAGACTTTTATCCTCTGCAATCCTTCATCCACTCATCTGTCTATCTATCCATCCATCTTCCTCAGGGAGAGGTTTGGTTGCAATGTATGTCAGGCACTGTAGTACAAAGGTATTTTTCACATCTCCACTGGGATTAGCTGGCCTGATGTTTTTACTGCTCCTGTGATGCGTTATTTTTTGCTGTTGCGTAGCTTGACCTCCTAGTTCAAGTGGGAATGGCTGCCATGATTCTTGAAGCCAGCTATCTACGTGTATATACTTAACTGCAAAGAGCCCAGCTCATTATCCACACCACTGTCTCGTGATCAAATATCTTAAAGGATGGGAAATATATAATTAATGTCAGAGTTTGTCAAAACGTTTGTTTAAGTGAGTGTTAGCAGTCACTGGATGGACAGGTAATATTTCTATAGTCTGCTTGCCATAGATAGACGATGTATGAGAGAAGGTATTGTTAGTAACATCGTTAGTACCATCCAGCTGCTTTTCACCACCTCCGCCTGTCCAGCCTCTCAGCCAAGCAAAGAGAAACAGGGAATAGAAAGTGGAGAGAGAGAGAGAAAGACACACACACATATATACTACATTTATTCTGCCTGCTCTAGGTGCTGCCTGTGTTAAAGCCCCCGGTGAACCCAGTGTGTCAGTCTGCCGGTACATGGCCAGCGCGTCTCGCAAGCAGCCAACAGCAAAGGAATAAATCATGATCTTACAACAATGCGTCAGTTGACTTATTGCTGTTTCGTGACCGGAGGTGAATGGTACCACTGTTTTAAAAGGCCGTTCGGCGGTGGCGCAGGGGCGGGAGCCAGCCGAGCGTGCAGCCTTGTCATAGGGCCGTATAATAGGGCTGCATCGGCCCTTCCTCTAACTAGTCAGTTGGGAGGACCCCCACCACCATCGCCCCACCACCCTCCGTGTCTTTCATCTGCCGAGGCCCCCCAGCTCTCGAGCCCAGCCTCTGCCCTGCCTATCGCCCAAACTCACACAGCCCGGCCCCAGCACCGGCTGACAGCAGCCCTCTCATCAGCCTGTCAGGCCTATGCTAACAAGGAGCTATCCATCCACCATGCCCTAGAGTGCCAGCTGTCTCTCTGTTTCCTGCCTTTTCTTCTGTTGTTCTTCTCTCTTTCCCTGACTTCTCTCTGTCTCTCTACTTTTCTCTCTATCTTAGTTATTCTTTTTCACTGACATTATTTTCTGTCCATCTGTCTCTCACTCACCCTGTCTACACCTCTCTTTCTCTCTGACTTTGCCTCCCTGTTCCAGGGTGTCTTAATGCGTCTCTCTGTTGTTAGGCATCTGCAGAACATCGGGACATCCTCCCCCTTCCTTCCCCTCCTTCCCCTCAATAGACTTATCTCAGACCCATGCCATGTGTCTGACTTAACGTGTGTGTTGTGCCGCTGTGACCACATATGTGCATGTTGTGGGTGTTTGTGTCTCTTTTGCATGCATCTGTTTGTGTGTGTTCTGCACTCACAGGTGTTTGTACCTTATGTCTTATGTCTTTCTGTGAGAGAGTCAGTGACTGTGTGTGCATGTGTGGGAGGCCTGGCGTTAGCTGTTACCTGTGTCGTCCCGCGTGCCCTCTCTCTCTCTCCCTGTGCCACCTACTTGTTTGTGGCACACCTGCGTTGTGCCGGGACTGACACCGGCGTTTGTCAACAGAGGGAGAAGCGGAGCGCGGGTAATTGGTGACTTTATGCAGGGGAGGGAGGAGGGAAAGGCTAAAACAGCGATAAGCCAACAGGAGAAACGAGGGAGAGGTGGCAATGGACAGAAGAACAGCAGGAGGAGAGGAGGAAAACAGAATAAGAAATGAAGAATTGGGATGAAAATGAGGCGGTGAAAGAAGAAGAGAGGATTGAATTTGGAGAGTGCGTAGGGACAGAGTTGGAAGGAAAGGCTAGTGGAGGGGAAATGAGTGTTTGAGGCTGGTGTGAAGAGGTCAAGAGCGACTCTGTTGATACCATTCCTCCTGTCAAATTGAATCACATTGCCTGCAGCAGCAGCTATTTGTCTCATACTGCGCTCTCACTGCAATTGAACATGTACGATAGGTTCCCTCATCTAAGAGTATGTAAGCGGGAATAAGTGTTATGAGGCCAGTAAAATGGATATTTCTCCATTACACTGCCCCACACTGCACTGCATGTAGGCCCCCACAGTAGCAGTGTCTCCATTTTCTGTCTGTTTTACTTCAACGGGTCCAATTTCTCAGGTAAAGAGGAATGGTGTGGGTGGAAACACACTGCTTACTGACAGAGTCTGAGTTCCAGTGTTGAGAAGATCTGGTGGGTCCTGCTCTTTAAGGAAACATCACTGTCCAAGGGTTGCGCTGCTGTTCAGGCACATAGAGGGAAGAGTTCATATGAATATGTTGATGTATGAATATGGAGAGATGTTTGATGGCTTGTGAGACGTCAGAAGAGTTTAGGTTACTGCCCAAATGTAAAAAAACAAAAACAAAAAAAAACATTTATTTTTTGTTTACTGAGTAATTCTCTCTGTCATAATTCCACATTCTGGTTAAATTCCTGCAGAAAAAAACATATTAGCTGTATCCCTATTCCATACTACATACTAATTCTAAGCAGGTTTAACAGGGACACAATTAAGTATATCAAACAAGTGTGCATACAACAAAACCCCACTTGTTTTTTGAGTGGGCTGTTGATGGACATTATTGTCCCGCAATGCACAAAGGAAATGGAGGAGCTGCTGACAGCTGGAAAATATTAAAACTAATTGTAGACGGTGGTAAAAAAGCTCTGTGAACACAACAGAAAACAAAAAATAACTATTAAATCTTTGAAAAACATTTTATGAAGTTTAATTGGCAGTGACATTCCAAAGTTGCAGCTTGATTGACATCAATGGCACAAACATCGTTTAATCTCCTGTTAGTGTAAAATTATTATGTTAATATGTTTGAATATTAACTGCAAAAACAGTATGCAGACATTTAGTGTGTTGTACTTACTGTATACTGGAAGTATATAGTATGAGAATGCGACACAGACTCCATTATTGACAAAACTGGTGTGTGACCTCTTAGCTTAGGTTTGTTACTACCTACCTCAAGGTTGCAATGCAATTTATCTCACTTTATCTCTTCACTCCACTCTGCCTTCTTCTCCCACTTTCACCTCCTCCTCTCCATCTCTTTATGTGTCTATGTCTCTCTCTTTCTGTCTCTGCTTCCTTAAGTCCCATTGAATTGATCTGGGAAAACCACTGTTAGTGTGGGACACTCTCTGTCTCAGCTACGGCGCACTAAGAAAGCTCTCAGGGCAGAACCAAAGACCTTGACTGCTTTTTGAAGCAGGCTGTCGCTGTATAATCGGTTAGCTTCTCTCAGAGGAAGGGGCAACACACACACATGCACACACGCACAGTATGTGAGGCAGGCAGCCCCTCATTACCGGGCAGAGCCTTGGTCCCTGAGGACTGGACCCAGCACCTAATCCTGTATTTGTTCTTGGGGACTGTATCTGTGATTCTCCATTGAATGGAATATTAAGCACCCAGGTCTTTTGTGGAGCGTGTAAGCCATTTGGCTCCACTCATCTATTATTTATCAGCCTGGCAAATATTTTATCAGCCTTAGCCTCTCATGACCCACTCTCATGTGAAGGCCCCCCCCGTAAATGAAGTTTAAAAAAAAAAAAAAAGAGAGAGAGAGAGTGGTACGATTTCTCTTTTTTCCACTTATCTTCCTTTTACTTTTTGCCTCATTCGTTCTAAAACCTGAACAAGGACACAGGGATTTGTGTTCAGCTGAATTAGAGAAGCAAATATGTGAACTATTCCTCTGGAGTTCCCTCCAATTTGCCTTATCTCAGGCACACTGCCACCTCCATCGCTTTGGAGATAGCAAATAAAAGAAAACAGAGATCTAGATTTGCTTTATAAATCATTATCTTAGTTTCAGTAACCCCCTCTCCCCTCTCAGCCAACTCCCCCAAGCCAGCCACCCAGCCAGAGAAGAAGAGAAGCAGAGAGAGAGACTCCTGTTTTTCCTTTCAACCTGAGAGTAAATCATGCCAGTTGGGGGGCTCACCTTGAGGCCTGGTGGAGATAATTGGAGTTGGTTAGCGAGGTGTTCTGTGCCATTACCTCCTGGTACCAGCGAATGGCTGGGGCTTGTCTCGCTCTCCCAGAGGAGGAATACACTCGCCTGTTGGCTCTCCACTTAGTGTGTGTGCGTGTGTGCGTGTGTGACACATGCACTTATGTGTGTATGTATATCCGCAGCCGGATTGCTGACCTCTCTTCATCACAATTTAATGGCCCCTTGCCGTCATCGTTTTAGAAAGAGAGAAGGGCGTGATGATTTTGATAGTAGCTCTTCCACCAAGTGCTTCACTTTCACTCATTAATATTCATAACATCGATTTATTTTCAGAATTAACAAAAAAACAAACTGTTTGCCAGGGAATTAATCCTGACAGGAGCGTGGCATTGTTGTGTTTTATTTGAAGACGGCAGGCAGCGGAAATATGCATATGCAGATACACAGAGCAAGACACCAATTAAATGTTGATTAAGTCCTAACTATTGTGGGACTGTGTGTATGATAGACTGCACAGAGACAATAAAAAAAGATCATTGCTTCTTTCCAGCAGATATGAAAAATGAATGCAGTTAAAACAAACATGCGGGGAGGGAGGCACATGGACATACGCAAACACACACACACACACACACACACACACACACACACACTTTTTGTTGTAAGCTTTTCAAATGTCCGGGCTTGATGTTTGGGTGGATTCGGAGGGTGGGGCCCTCTTTTTCTTTCTCTGGCAGCGGTGGTTTTCAGCCGCCAAGCTCCCCCGCTTTTGGCCGGTCAATTGTGACACTGTGTGTGTCAGTGAGCAGGGGGTCTCCTGATAGTTGCGCGTGTGTGTGTGATAGTGTGTGTCCGCTTCACACATTGACTGTGAAGCTGCAGCAGTATAACAGCGGCTGCTGCTCCGGGGTCCCGGTGGTATTGGCCTAGCCCGCAGTCTCTCTTGGCTAACTCATGTTTCATTCTTTGGCAATTTGCCCTAATGAAGTCCCGCAGGAGCCCCTCAGACCTCTGTTCTCTTTCCATATTTAATCATGTTATTTTAATCTGGGGGATGAGCTAACGCCTCTTTCTCCTGCCGTGTCTGTGTGTGTGGGTGTGTGTGTGTGTGTTGCAGGTCATTACTATAGCTGGATTTTCATGAGATGGGATGTCAAGAGGGGGATGCTGGCTTTAAGACAATGGGAGACAATGACTTTAATTTTATGTGTAATGCTGGTTTGACAATGTAGAGAGCCCCTTTGAAAAAGAATGTCATCTTCATGGGATTGCTTCTCATTATTTGTTAAAAAAAGAGATTATTTTCTCTTTAATTTCTGGGTCATAGTAGTTGGTGTAATTTTGATTTTTATGGTTACTGTCAGCACTGTTTTGGGCTCCTTTTTGTTGCTTTTGTGCAGGTCGCAGCACAATTCTCACTTTGACATTGAGTTGATAAGCAGTTAATTATGAATACTAGGCTTGTGGTTTACCATTCATTTGTGTATAAAGCAGGTTAGAATATAAGCTTTAAATTATTTTCTAATATAAATTTCTTAACGCCATGTGCAATAGTAGCAATATCACCGCAGCGATGACCCACCACAAATGAATCAGAATGGAGGAAACATTGGTTTCATGTTCTCTGTGTGTAAAGCAATATGCCTTTCTTCATGTCAGTCTTTTCAGTACTTTTCTTTTCACCTCCTCATCAATCTCCTCTGCTGTGTTTCTGTCATGGGTTTAAGACAAGTGGTTGATCTCTAGCTTGTCTGTTCTTCTCTTCCTCCAACGATAGCTTGCAGGTCGTGTGTTCATCACAACAACACTAGACATGTCAGTGTACCATATTCTTTCTGAGGGCTTTTGTAAGTGAGCAAGATTAAAGTCTAACTCAATGAAATCAAACATACAGTACATTGACACATCACCACAAAGTGTCACCACCTTGATCAGACTTCTAGATTTTAAAAACAGGATATTAACAGGATGTTGTTTTGAAGGAAATGGAGCTGTGGTTCTCTAGACGTCTTCTATAGACTCTAGCAGTGCAGAAACTTAGTTCAATAAGTTGTAGAAATACATTGTAAAGAAAAAAAAAAGACAAGCTGTACATTTAGCTCAAAGTTATTTTGCTGTTTTTTGACTTTACAGTTTTTTCTTTGGGGCAATTCTTGAGACTGAAATCACACAAACCTTTGGTTAAAAAAAAAATTTAAACTACCAGTAAACATACAGCATGAATGGGTATTTTTGTCTTTCCTTTACTTAGATTTTGTGTTGCCTCGGAAAGTTGTGTTGAGATTGTCCTCTTGCTTCTTTCTCTCTCTGTAGTTAACTGCATGTGTCCACGGTGCGGCTGCTCTGCTCTTTCCTATGTACTGGCAGCACATCTTCATCCCTGTGCTGCCCCCGCATCTTCTGGACTACTGCTGGTAAGACTGACCACCTCTGAAACGCGCATACAGACACGAACACCATCAGGATCATCATCATAAATGTTTACACCCCCTCTTTTTCTCTCCCTCTTTCTCTCATTTTTCAGCCACCTTCCAACACACGCACAGTCACACACACCTGACACGTAAACACACACCACGCCATGTGTGCTGGTCACGCACCGAGCTCCGCTGCTAAAACCTCGGTGTAAAAGTGCAGACACACATGTTCACACTTTCTCCCACCCGTTCTTCGAGTTGTTCTCACGATTTCTCTCGTGGCGTGCCTTCTCCTGTGTGGCCCCTCAACATAATGAACGGCCCGGATCACCTTGCTCCATATTTCATGCTAGTGCTAGCACCACGCTCTCATCATGTTAGCCCTCTCAGGGGTTCATTACCACCCATCCAACAAAATCCAACAAATCTGAATGGACTTGATTGAAACTGAATGGAGAGTAGAAGTAACAGCTCATCTACAAATCTACACACGTTCAGGTCAACTTCAGATCTGAACATATAAAAAAAACAAAAAACGGCAGAGTGGGAGAGTCAGCTTATGTAAAAGGAGCTGTTTCTTGCCGAATCATTTGTGATAGCTCATACAGTACAGTGCTTTACCATAAGGGACACATCAGCTTTAAAAAGCTATTCATCACTGACAGTAAAATGTGATTTTCAACACTCTGTGAAGACTCATCATTATCTTATCTAATCACAGGGGTGTCCTCCATGCGCTGATTAGATAACTAAGTTATATGAGATGCTCTGTGTGCATGTATCTGAGTAAATGTTGATGACAGTCAGTGCTGTATATTCATGAAACGGACAAGACAGTGGCTAAAGTGCAGAGCTACAGGCCTGCTGTTTGTTTTGCTGTTGCTTTAAGTCGATTACAAGCCTGTGGCTTCTGAATCATTCTGGCCAGGAATATACTGACCCAAAGCTATCCGATTATTGCTTCCTCTGTAAACCTCATCATAAAAATGGTTTCTATTATTTGACTGTTTTTGTTGATTCTGTTCATCTTGGTGGATGGGAAACCTATTCTATGATTCAACCTTTGCTTGCCACTAACTTTCAATATGAAGATAAATATCACATAAAATAAGACTGCATTATAATAACCGTGCAAAGCATATGTTTGTAAGGGAAAAAGAAAACATTTGACACTTATACCCTTTAGCTTTCTAGGAAGTGTTCCAAGTCTTTATATACTTTCTGAATCTACTGTCATGTTATAGGAAAATTTAATATTATTACAGTTGTCACATTAGTGTTGTCAGTGTTCGTCTGTAATATTTTCCAGAGTGTGGCAGTATTAGACAAGGTGTACAAAACAACTTTAAATCACATTTTAAATCTTTTAGCCACAAGTCGCTGACTAAAAATTAAAACAACTCAGAGGCAGAATGCCTGGTAACTTTTTAAAAATCAGTCCACTAGCACCACATCAATTTACCTGCCCTGCTACACACACCAGTTAATCTAATGTTTCCCTTTGTGAGAGATGGTGAAATAATTTATTTTCTCTGATTTTCAGTCAGCGGCTGTGTCCTACATGTAATATGATTGGGTTAAAAAACAACATATGGATGATAATCAGTTTTGCTGCCTATGTAACAATTATGTTATGTCATGGGAATTAAAATATACATTTCCCATAAGCTTCAATGCAGCCAATCTGTTGCATTACAGTAGTTTTCACATAAACTCTAGCAGTTGACGAAAAAGATTTTTACTTTAAAAAAAAGTCTATGCTTTTAGTCTTAGATTTGATCATTTAGGGAATTTATTACATATTTTTGAATGATCTGTTGAATTTGTGTTTTTTCAAATTAATAATTTATTCTATAAGATGTGATGGCATTTCTGATTGTTTAATTAAGTTATATTGCAATCAGCTCTTATCTACAGATTGCTGTAGTCTGACCAACTGTCAGAAACCCAAATAGCATTCAGATTACAATTATTTAAGAATAAGCAACAAATCTTCACATTAAACAAGATGTGATTTATGCTAGTTGTAGCTTGATAAATAACTAAAGATGAATCAAATATCAAAATAGTAACTGAATGTAGATTCTGTAGATGTTGATAATCGGTTAATCAAAGAATACTCTCAACATGAAGTTTTTTTTTACTTTTTCAGATGGGTGTGTAAAATGTGCTGTGCTAGTGTAGCCTCCAGATATATTTCGTTACTGCATGTAAACATCTTATATTGATTTTGCTCACAGCTTTGTTTTCCTCTCTCCATCCACAGTGCCCCCATGCCATACTTTGTGGGAGTTCATCTTAGTCTGCTGGAGGTATGTTAGTTAATCTCTGTATGCATATGAATCATTATACTGTATGTGCATAATTATACATGCTGCTGCAAATTGATGTATATATATGTGCAAATTCTGTAATGTATATCGAATGTGAAATGTTGATGATTCCTAATTTGCATCTGATATATACTGAATGAATTTCAGGGTCTTTGTCAGTGGATCTTCTCAAAAAGAATAATAAACTTACATTTAGGGATGATGCTGTAAATTTATATAGTCAATTCTTAGTTTTAATTCTTTGTGTATATGGTCAACTAATGCCGCACCTGGTGTGGTGAATTGTGCTCTCAATTTTGGTGTATTTGAAATTTCAGTAAGGCAACTTTTGGCACCTTCAAGACATTGAATCAAAAAAATTGACAGAATGTTTTTTCCTCTTTATCTCCCTGTCTTGCTTGTGTGCATTCTTAAGCAGAAGTACAAAAGACAGAGGGAGAAAGGCAGAAAAAGTATCTGCAAACAAAGAGCTTTTCTACTTTATTGTTAAACCCTGTGTGTTGGTTGGGGGACAAACCGTCACCAGCACTGCTGTTGTGTGTGAATACATGTTGCAAGCACGTGCACATTTGCGCTTGTGTGTAAGTGTTAGTATGTAAGTGTTTGTCTGTGTGCGTGTGTAATTGTGCCAATGCATATGTTGTAATGCACATGTGTGTTTGTGTGTGTGTTTGCTTGTGATATTTGTCTGACAGTTGCGGCAGTGGCAGTATTTATCACACTCTGCATCCGTGACAGACCCCCTTTCCGCCACTACATAATTAGTCCAGATCAGCATGTGAGCCTCCACTGCACAGGCTGTCACAAAAGTGACAAACTAGAAATTCACACACTATGCTGCCTCCCCCCCACACCTGCCTGCATCCTGCACCACACTGAAATAATTGTTGAATTTGTCGCCATCAGGATGCACACAGCACAGCACAGAATCACTGTGTTGTTGTTGATGCATGAGGTTTTGGTGCTCTGGAAAATCTTTGCACAATCCGAATGTTCTTCTCAGTGCCATTTTTCATTTTGTGAGAGTTTGTGTGTTATAGTAAAGATGTTCTAATATATTTTTTCCTACACGCCATTTTTCACCGTTAATCGTAAAGGAGTGTGATGACAGTGTGGTTTTAAATGTGACCGCTGTGTTTTTTTTTTCTTCCTGGGGCTTCAGTACTGAAATGACTTTGTCTGCTGGGAAACACACCTGGCCCACGCATAGAATTTCAAACATTAACTTAATTAGCTATATTCTCTTTTATTATTTAAAATATGTAAAATACCTGATTACCAAAGCTGGCCAGCTTTCAAAAGTAAACACAATTCTCTGCTATATGATAGCAAAACACTAATATGTATAATAATAATAATAATGCTTCAGCTACATTATGTAAAAGAAGAAAATATTTTTTTAATTGTTAATATTACAAGAACTCCTGCGTGCAGAACTTGACATGTTTTAATGATATTTATAGGTGGGGATTTAATCAATATTTTGAATCAATTTTTTTTTTATTACTGTGGCAGTAGCTAATAACACTGAACATTTCCTCCTTTAGAGAGTACGCAGTCGATCACTGGAGGATGTGGTCATTCTGAATGTGGACACCAACACCCTTGAGAGTCCATTTGACGACCTGCACAACCTGCCCGGTGACGTGGTGAGACAGACACACACACACACACCCACACACACACCTACACACACTCACACACTCACACACACACACACACAGATACACACACGCACCTTCCAGAGTTTCTGAACTTTATTGTCTCATTACAGATGACACACAGAAGGTTCATTTTTCCTCTTTCTCATCAGGTCTCACTTGCACAAATGCACATTTTCTTGTCCTCCAATGTACTGTCATACTTAGATACTCACGCCCACGTGCACACGTGAAAAACACACACAGACACATACACATGCAGAAACTTGTCAAAGTATAGCTCTGTCCCCTCCCCACATCATTAATGACTGCAGTACTGGCTCCTCAGATTGTGGCTGTCTAAAGTAAACTCCCGTCGCGTCGTATGACGCTTGAAGGCAAACAGCATTCCCCGACCATCAGAGGCTTGTGGGAAAATGTGCAACTCCCTTCCCTTCATCTCCATCCATTCTAATCATTATTTCACAAAGTCTTGCATTTCTGCCTGCCCACTGGCACGTTTCTGAGAACGAGAGATAGGAGGAGGGAACAAGGCAGAGAAAAGAAAAGAAAAGGCAGAGATGGGTGATTTTCTAGGGGGGGAGAGTGGGAAGAAGGGGGCCAATTACCAGTGTGGGCAGTGAAGCCACCTGCCAGTGCATCGTCTCTTTAATTAATGGAGCACTGACGCTGGTCAGTGCTACAGGAAGCATCACCACAGCGTCAGGGTCACTCGCACATTTACACACACTGACACACACACATATACACACACACACACACACACTCTCTCTTATATATTCACACACAAACCTAGAGAACAACACACGTGATTGTCTTCCCTGTCTTTGTCGAATAGGAATCTGTTTGTTTAGCTGTTTTTCAGGGTGTGTGTATTAAAGCTCCTCTGTGAGGTACTGAGGTCCCACTGAGGCGGCGGACACACTATTACCCACACTGCTAACAGTATATTCTCAGGTTCCACCGCCTACCAGACTCCTGCCCTACCGGCAGTATATAATTCAATCCAGTGCCCAACAGACTCCAGACCTTCTCACACTCTCACATTTCTCTGGTTCACCTGATTTAGCACTGCTCAGCCTACTACGACTGCTAGCATGCATTAATGCCTCCTTACTACCTGCAGTGGTGCAATCTTTCCTACATTTTATACAATTACCTGCCTACTTTGTAACCTGTTTGCCTGTCTGCCTTATCGCCTGCCTTACTGCCTGGCTGCTTGAGTTTCATGACACCTGTCTGCCTTCTTGTCTCTCTCTCTCTCTCTCTCTCTCCTCGCAGTACTTACCGCCAGCCTGGACGTTTCTTGCACCCGCTGTTTGCTTCTCATGCTTCTTGCCTGTGTGCCTGTCTGGCTACAGTACCTTCTTCTCACTTCCTGCCTGCTTGCTTTTCTGCACCCAGGGACTCGAGTCCTAAATTAAATTGCAAACTGAGTTTGTCATAAAAAGGAGTCAGGGCTTTTGAAAAGCGACAGAAGCAGAGAGAAAAGCCTTTGTCTTTGCCGTGTGATAAATTAAGTGGCAGCCTCAGAGCCTTTTTGCTTTGATCCCCTACTCACCATTTTTCCTGACTAATGACAGAACATAGCCCACATATCATGTCAAATTACACCACCTGAAACGGAAACTTCACTGGCATTAATATATTTATTGCAACAAATTGTTGTTGTTTTTATTCCCATTCATTTTTTTTTTTCCCTGTCTCCTCTCATCTTTTCACCGGGGCTAGTAGATTAATAAGGAAGCGAGCAGGTACTAATTGAGTGGAATTCCAGGTCTCTTGTTAGTTTGCTTGTTAGTGATGAGGACATGCCACATGGCATTTGATGTTTGTGTTTACACACAAGGAGATGTTTGAGGCATTGTGCAGTTTGTCAAACAGAGGCCTGAAATCTTGATTAATGCTGAGAGATTCTCTGCCTGGGCTGAGCTGCCGTGTGTTGTTTCTGAGCTATTAAAACCACTCTTCGTTCCTCTCTAATTCTCACTGTAACACTGGCTACTTAACACTCAGGCTTTATTCAGCGTGAAACCAAAGCCTTGAGACCTATGAAGTAATGATTATTCTCACTTTAAAAGCCCAGTATCACTTTGTATGAAGATATAAAGCATGAAATGGATTCAATAGTAAAGGCCACAGGCAATTTTTGTGCGTATTTTAAGTCTAACTAAGAGGGAAAACAAAGCACTCTGATGTTGATTTAAGCAAACCTTTAGAGATCCGTCTAATTATGGCAATACAGGCTGTGAGCACATGTGGACTTTATTACGTGGCTCGGCTGACCAGTGGCCGTGCTTTTAGCAGGTTCAGAGTTCACAGTTGTCCCGAATTAGCCGCCCTCTTTCAGACAGGATCCCTACACCGGCTCCACTAGTGCCCGCCCCTTAATGGTCTTTTCCCGCAACTTCACACATAATATTTTAGATTTATTGACTATTACAAATGCTACCATGCCAGTAGCGGTTCCGTTTTGCAGAAAAGGAAAGATCTGAATAAGAGAGTAATTGGTAGCAGGTCAAAAAAGGATGCAACAATCTTTTGAGAATAACTTTGGGCATTTTTTCAATTGGAAACATCATATGAATCAAAAGTCTAATATTAATTATACTTTTGTTCTGGATTTGTATTTTTAAATGCACATGGCAAATAAATGTAAAGTCTGTTTAATTTTTTGTTTTCCTTTTTAGTTGTAACATGCTCTTATATTATTATATTATAATATATGAAAATCAATCTAAACGTTTCCTATTTTAACTAGTATATTTTGGTATCTTTGTATAAAAAATAATGCAGCTTAAGGAACTATTAAGTTTCTTTCTTTAAGTTTGTGCTTTTCTTTTGTTTTCTGTTTGAGATAAACATTGAGATATTATTAGAAAAATAGATATTAAATTTTGCGTGTGTATTTTTAGCAGGATTTTGCATATTTTGAGGTTGCCTAAGCTGAAATAAAAGTTTCAATAGTTTTTACACATTAATAAGTCATACTAATCTCAGAGAGACTGTGCTTGTGTCAGTAAAATCAATATGTTGACAAGCACAGTGAAAAAAAAATACTCAATAAAAACACTGTAGTTTTTCCCTGGAAGATCAAGGTATTTTTGTTTCTTTTTCTGAGATCCATGGTTCCCCTTCCACACAGAGATTGTGCTGATAAAGTTATAATTGGCTTTTGGTTGGTGGAGCTGTTTACCGCGCTAGTCATTAAAAGTATCCAAGAATAGCAAATTAGGAGTCTGTTAATTCTGAAAACAAACAGTGTGTGACTGAATCAGATTTTTATTTGATCCCGGCAATTGATCTCAAACCAATGACGGAAGGATTTTTTCATGTATTATTCTTTTTGTGCCACATATTCAAGGTGAGGTGCTACAATGCAGCTTACATCTTTATTTTCAGATGCTCTCTCACATCACAGCCTAATTCCTTCTATTCTCCTCCTTTCTGCCTCTCGCTACTTTGCTGACACCGTGTACCCATACATTCCTAGCCTTCATACATTTGATCATTTGTATTCCCAATAAAGGGGAAAATTTACAGCGTACACTCCTACTTCCTGTATTTCAAGCCTGCATTTGGAGGTTTACAAATGAATGAGGGGGTTGCGGTTGTGTCTGCGCGCCTCTCCTGAGATCACCTGGCACACTTAATCAAACATCGCGGCTTTAATTTGGTGTTCAGTTTCCGATGCTCCCAGAAAACAACATCTACATCATCGTCTACAACAGAGTACAGCCGACAGCAGGCACACACTCACACATGCAGATGCACAGACACACACGGAGACATCTACATGTTGTCGGCCAGGAATGTTCATCAATGACATTCAGATCTAGTTCAGGAGTAAACTTCTGCTACTCACAGATTTTTGGTTTGTCCACCAGATTCCCCCATTTTTCAGTTTAGATACAGCCAAGTGTTTTCATTTCACTGTTGTCTTTCCTAGCGGAGCCACCTACAGTAAAGCCCCTCACATGCTGTACTAACTAGATGGTAGCTCAGTGCTGGGAATGTGGTTGCTCCACCTCAGTTACATACTGTACTTTACCAGAAACAGTCTCGGCGTCTGCAACATATAATAACAATCTCCAAAGTATTTGATTTGGTTATTGTTCTTGTGTCTGTACTTTTACCAACTGCTCATTTAAAACATTATTTTACAGGTTATGATTGTTTTAAATAGCGCTGAACTGTGCGTACACTCTCTCTGCAGTGTTAGCAGCCCTTCATTTACTCATGTGGAGTTTAAAAGCTGCACTTGATTTTCACATACTCGTTCTGCCGGCGGTTCACTCTGGATTAGAAGTCAAAAAGGGAGAGCAGCATCACCCACTGCGTTAGTTATTGAAGTGAGAGATGACATTTAGCTGTAGTTAATTATGTATGCAAAACTCAGCCGCTCAGCTGCTATAAGAGGTCAGCTTGACAAAGTAACCCCACACCGGGGAGAGTCTCATGGCAATGAGATAGCCCTATTAAAACACACACACACACACACACACACACACACCCAGACCAGACTTTTTCTCCCCCCTTGCTTTCTCACTCTTTTTTTATTTCGCTTGACTGATGTGTTGTATTGCATGTGCTTAACAGCAGATCAACATACTTAAAAACTAAGAATTATGTGTCTTAGTACATGCCTTAATAGTTTTTTCTATATTCTAGTCTTTCTGAATTGTACATATTTATTTCATCACATCACTTTGCTAATTTAATAATCACCAGAGTTCATTTTGCTAGAAAAGACTAGAAGTTAATGATCTTATGCAGTTAGTTATGAGAGATTGTAGTTGACTCCCCCATCAGCTTAAGTAATATCCCCATTATTGTGCCGTTTTACCGTTAGACTGAAAATAGAGGTTAATTTAAAAGAAATCATAATACTATTTGTTTTAAATTGAACGAATGAATGAATTTCGGAGATTCCAGCTTGCATGCTCATTGTGTACATGTATGTGTGTGCATTTGTGAGAGTATATGCCGGTTCTCCGTGTGTCTTTGTTCAGATTTGTGTGTGTGTTTGTGTGTACGTGTGTGTACAGTTCAGACTGCAGCACATCAAAAGAAAGTGGGAGATTTTCATAACTATTTTTTTTCTTTGTAGTTCTTTAATTGCGTCCCCATGGCTTTCTTTCCCTGGACAGAATCTTAAACAAAACATTCTTTTTTTGTGAGAAGAAAACCCAACTTTTTATTTATTTATTTTTTTAACAACAGACAAGTGTCAGGGTCGTTATTTAGGAGGGGTTTTTTATGCTTTAGTGAAAATTTAGAGGAAAATTCTAAATATATATTCAGAGTTTTGTGTGTAACTTTTCTATACCCTTTTTTATTTAATTTACTCAATAATAAATATAAAAACTGTCAGCCAGGCTATTACCTTTTGTCCTGCATTTTTTGTTGTTGTGGAAGATAATGTCCAACAGTTAATAAATAACCAGATCAATGACCAGGTTTCACATTTATTTTGTGGTCTTTCTGATTATATCGGTTCTTTGTATAGAAATAGAGCTTGCTGTCATGCAAAGCATAAAGTGATAAAACCATGATTATTTTATCAGGTTGAGTTTTAGAGTATAGCAATAGCTGTTACAAAGACAGTGAGAGGTGTTTTTGTCAAGCTCACAGTCAGAGTAATTTTATTTTGAAATTCTCCAAAAGCTGGTGTAGGTTTAAATGTACTATACATACAGTACCTGCCTATCGTGTTTTCAAATGCATGTGAGTATGATACAAGTTGGGATGTTTGTATCAATACGCTGAGGAATCGTTTTCATGCGTGTGTACTCATGCATGTGCACATACACGGGCACATACACACACACACTCGCACAGATGCAGGGTGTCACCTACAGTGGTATCCTCCCTTACAGTCAGGCAGGGATCATCATTGCACCTGCTAATTACCATCTCCAGCTGGAGAGTTAAATGGAGATCTGTTCTATGTCTGACCTTTGACCCCATGCTCTTTATGTGACGCACTTCAAACCCTGTTTGGGCCTGGCTGGGCTGGGCCTTAATGAGGCCCCATGTCTGCCCTCTGTGGGCTGTGCGCTTTGGATGCCCCGCTTTCATCCCCGACCATCTTCCCTTGATGTAAATTGAAAAGATCACAGCTATGGGGAGAAGACCTGTACTGGAAAGGCCCCTCTGCATAGATTATGAATATCATAACTCAACAGTTTTTTTTTTTTCTCCCTCTCCCCCAACCACCCACTCCCCTCTCTCCTCCTGCCACCCCTTCCCTGTACAATGCTATAGTTCTAATTGGACCCAATGGGGGACTCTCTGCCTTTGATCTCATCACCGCCACTGTGACTTTACACTAAAAAATGTCACTGCCAAATTGGGTTATCACCTGTAGAGCCTGGCCTTCCTCTGATGCCTGTACGCATCTCGTTAGCTTCACTCAAACTGTAGAAGTTAATTAGTTTGACAGAGCCATTACCGTGGAGGCATACCTGATGATTGTGGCGTAGGCGCCATTTTCAAAATCCAACTTCTAAACACACATTAATTTTTGTGTCGTGTATGTGAAGGAACGCGCGGTAGACTGTGCTTCATTTCATCTATTAGCAAAGACAAAATTCTGGGATTTTTCATGCACTACTACTATATTTGTTAAATGACAATTTAATTAATCACCATGTGTGACAAAAGAAGAATGTCTTCATCATGCTTAACCTTACTTGTGAATAAATGTGAAACTTTGAACTTATCGCTTTATCACCCATTTTTCTCTAACGCTAGGAAACAAAACACAAGTGAAGTGGTGTCCCCACCTCATTAAAAAGTGTTTGCCACTGCAGTGCTCCCACCCTTTCAAAGCTGCTGTACAGAACTCTGTGTGCAGAGTAAACTCCGTTATCCCATCTTCACTGACAGTCTTTGGGGTATGCCTCCCCCACTTAGACTGACATTGTGTTCGCTTTGATTCTCCCTCCGAAAATAAGACAGTTTAATGATTTGCAAGGATGAAAAAAATCAGTGAAAACGCACATAAACATGAAATATTAATTCCAGAAAGGGCTTTACATAAACATAAAAGCATTTAGCACAATGAGTGAATATGGAGATGACACTTGTTAATTTATCCGTGATAAACTTCCTGTTTGATGCCTGGGAGCATTTGCAATGGCAGCACAGGGACGTTGTGGAGAGTGAGAAAGCCCAGGGGAGAGGAATCGGCGCTGTTCGTTTTGTCTTTGTCCCAGTTTAAGACTGCCACTCTCTCTGTCTCGCTTTCTCTCCTTCTCTCCCTGCCTCTCTGTTTCTTTCTGCCTGTCCTTTGTATGAGCTGTGCTAACACTTTGCTTCTCCTCCCTGAAGTTTTCCATATGGGCTAATTGCAGACGCCAGACCACGATATCCCTCCAACGCTGCAGCTACACAGCATGATATATTTGGCCACCTCTGATTGAAATAGACCTGATCAAAATTTTATCACATTTTTTATCACATCACAGAAAAACTGAGGTCATTTAATGGTTGACACAACCTCAAATTTTCTCTTGCTTTCATCTCTTCTTCCTACTCTTTGTGCCCACAAATACTGCTACTACCAATTAAAACTAATAATATTGATATATAAAGAATCTGTTGTAAATGTTCTTTGTAGCTTTACAGAGGTGGACAAGCCAGACAATTAACACAGAAATATATGTGACACCACACACACCAAAAAATGTTGCACTGTATTAGGAGGTGATTGAATGGACTGGTGAAATATGCAGTGCAGTGTTAAATCTAATCGCAGACTGCTAACTAAAAATGTTAATTACTCTGTTCTGTTCTGTTATTTACTTTATTAGTTATGCATGTGCAGTCAGTTTTCTCGCCCTGTATTCAGAGAGCAGAGTGGTGAAGGTCGAACCTTACCTGGAGAGCTTTGGCTTAATCTGCCTTGTTAATGTGCCCATGAGCAAGACAACAAATCCTTACCGGCCACAGCTCTGAAGGAAACACTTTTCTGAGTTCTATATACAGAGATTAAGCATTGATTTTAGCCTTTTTAGCTTATTATTGTTGGTACGGAGTCTAGAATATAAGATAAAACAATGCAAAGTTATTCAGTGAGGAATTACAATTAATCTGTTTTTCCCTAATTGAGGTAGAAGGTTAAACTTATAGGTTCTTCTTTAAAATGGTGATTCAAGCTCGTACTACGGCTAACAGCCCACACCAAACTGCATTACAGTAAAGTAGACCTCCTGTGCAACCCAATCAAACGTTGTGCTTTTGTGCTAAGCTGGCACAGCCCACACAGAGAGCAGCAGTCCCTCGCTATCTCTGCCTCCTCCTCGCTCTGCCACAACACAGTCAGACTACTGCTGAGCAGGTGAGGAGAGCCTCTTGACAACTTCCTTCCCAGACTCCCCAGGGCCCGTTGGCCAGGGTGAATCTTTTGTCATCCTAAAACAAGCTTGGGCCTGCTGCTCCTCCACTCTCGCCTGGAGTCCTGGAGACAGAGCCAGGAGAGGGGAAAATAATTAAAGACATTTTATGTCAAGAGTCCCTTTCTAGAGGGAGTTTGGGAGAGCCAACAGGGGAGGGGAAAACAAGGAAGACTGGAAAGGAAAGAGGAGGAGAGTAAGAAATGGAGGGAGAAGCGAAAGAAGCAAGAAGTTGACGGGAGGAGAGCGGGGGTGGCAGCATGGAGAGGGAGGAAGAGCAAGGATGCGAGTTTCCATTTCCTCTCTGCTGTCCCCTCCCTCTCGCCGCCCCCCGTCCTCGGCTCAATTAGCAAAGCAGCAGGTGCTCTCAGCAGCACAACAGATAAGCTTGGAGGAAAGGCTGAGGCTTTTCCCTTTCTTTTCTTTCCTTTTTTGAGATGACCTGCAAATGTGATACTTCACACCCAGAATGGGCTAGCTGTTTCTTCCACCAATTTCAGAGGTGATAATTTAACTTTTACCCCTCCATCTTTCCATTTCCCCCCTCCCACCTCTCTCTCTCTCTCTCCCTCCCTCACTATCTGTCTCTCTCTTTCTCTTCCCCACATTCTCTCTTTATATTTTCCACCAGGTGTCTTCTCTGAAGAGCAAGCTGAAGAAGCAGTCAACAGCAACAGGAAGTGGTGTGGCGAGGGCTTTCATGAGAGCGCAGGCCGCTCTGTTTGGATCCTACCGAGATGCCCTCAGATATAAACCTGTAAGGATCCAGTCATTAATCACTACCAATCATCTTATAGCATTGTTGTATCATATCATAATAAAGCCTTATTTTCTTAAAGGACCTTCAAGGAGTAAGTGACATCTAGCAGTGTAGTAGCATATTGCAACTCCTCGCTTCACCCTCCTCGTCCAAGTGTGAAGGAGAAACTACGGTGGCCATGAAAAGCTAAAAAAAAACATGCATCCAGTGTTTAAGCTGACCTTGTTTTAAGGCTCAGTTCACCCAATTACAAAAAAACATAACCGTAAACATAACATAACCAAAACAAACATCTCACTTTCTTTTAGTCGTTTGTTTTTAAGAGAGTTTGGTTTTAATAGTTTTGAGATATCATCTGTGAGATTTTTTCCTCCACTGCAATACAATGGATGTATATGAAAAAAAACATTCCAGAGGAAAATGTCCCCCTTACTCTGGATAATCACAGTTTTTTTTTATTGAAACTACTCTTTTTTTAACATTATTTCCAGGTAAAACTGTTACGATTGTCCAAATAAATGTTTTTCCAAGACTGTGAGGACCTTGAACAAAATTCAATTTATATCTATCCCACTGATGTGGCAGCAGATCTCAGAGCCAGATAAAAACCTAAAAGTGAGAAGAGTGTTTTCTTTTTGTGATTTGACCATTTAGACTAATCTCAGACTGATCTCTGTACTGGAAAGCAAACAAAAGCATTAAAATTTATGGATTAGATATTGAGTATAAAGGCCACAGATTGTATTTTTATTCACAAGCAGAAATATTCACAGACATGAATATAATATATTTGCTTCTCAGAATGTGTAACACGCAGTAGCAATCTCAGTTTGGGTGAGGTGAGTCAAATTTCACTGGAGTCTGGTTGGACTGGGGCAGTTTTGACTGAAAGTAAAAGGTGTGTTTTCAGCTGGAGCGCAGAGCTAAGGTGGGCCTGTCTGAGGCAGTGAAATGTCAGAGGAGCTGAAAAGAGTCAGGACGTTCCCTTTGAAGATCCCTTTTAGCCACCTTTGGTGTTTTACTCCCCTTTACTAAGCCCCCCTAACATTTCTTTTCTGGATCTTTTCTGCTTATCAAGTCTGAGTCAGAGCACAGCAAACTACAGCATGTCCTGTTTGTCAAATAGCGAAGCCTTTGTTCCTTTGGCTTTGAGATTAATTGGACTTTGTGGACTCCCGGAGTCAAGATGCTACATTATTGATGCTGTCTCTCTTTTCTCTGTATACAGACAGTATACGAACAAACTGCCTCCCCTCTGACACAAGCACTGAGACTCAGTGTATGTGTGTGTTTGTGTATGTGTGAGCACAACATGCAGTAATTTCTCAGTTCACTCACACCGTGTTATCTTTTTAGAATCTGAGAATCTGAATAAAAGCCATGGAGTTAACATACATGCGCACACATATGCACACGCAAAACTGTGCATCTGCCTTCACGGAGAGACTGATGATACTCCTTGTGTTCTGATATTTGTGGAATATCACTCTGCTAGTTATCGTTGTGAGCTGAGGAAAAAGATCTTCCTAGACAGAGCTGAGCCTAGCGCCGTGGTTCACAGGCCCATATGCCTCAACAGAAGGAGGGGTGTGGATACTTGGTGGGAGTCTTGCTGAGTTGTAAATGAAACAATACTGGAAAATGATAATGAGTTGAAAAGCAATCAGCTGATTAGAGCAGCATTTCTTAGGTCATCAGTTTCAGCTCACGTTGATGGTCCCCCAAGTGCTTTTCACCAGCAGAACACATGTGTCGGGCAAAAATAACCTGAAATAGCAACTCATATTACCACCATTGATGAAGCCATGTCGGGTAGGTAGGTGTGCATATTCCATAGCTGTGGGCTCACAACTATTTAGAGGTAGAATTAGAAGTTTTACTCAAGAAGGCATGTCACCAGTTCACATTATCCAACTAGATGTGAACACTCTTGGTAGGGGAGCTTGGGGTGCCATCACATGTTCAGAAGTATTGAAGATTATTTTAGACACAAAATGTTACACATTGCATTGTCTCATGTATAACAGATCAATGTATTGTGTTAACATACAGTAGGAGTCCTGCACACACACATGCAGGTCTGTATCAAGGTGCAATTTGTTTTTTGGAAAAGGATCATTTTGAAATATCTATTTAAAAAAAAGTGCCATATGTTGAAATGCACATTTCAAAACAGCTGTATAAATTAACAGCTCAGTTTGGTTTGAGTTTGTTCAACCATAAAACAACCTACACATACATAACACACAAATATATTCATAGATTTCCACTTACTGCAACTTCAGTTCCTCCTAGATCACAACTTTCATCCACAGAGAACTGCCCACTTGTTCTGACATTTTGAACACATCTGCTCAAAGATGAGTTTCTCTTTTTGTATAATTGTTTCTGTGTACTGGTTTACAATCTCTTACTAAATAAGGAAGCAATTTCATGTTATACGTTGTTGTCAGGCTAACATGAAACATAGTACATTTGTACATTCACACTTATATTGTTCCCTACAAACATACAAACAAATTTAGTCCCCCACTGGAGCTCCCCTCGCCAATTCTTACAGGGCTTCATAAATATTCTTCTCTACATCAGTTGCTTTGTTGTGTAGTTGTCTTCAGAGATTGTCTTTTTTGTATGGCCCAATAATATTTGATCAATTCTTTTCATGTCTGTAAAGTAATAGCAGCCTTGGAAGTTAGCAAGTGCTGCTCACTCGTCACTCTGCATTTAATATAAAAGGACCTTTCCCCTAAGCGAGGCACTAAACCCTTACTATTACTAATATTAGTACCACCAAAGCCACATTTTGTTTCTAAAAATACATTTATACTAAATTAATTTTATTGGATACATACAATTAAGACATACTGTAATTGTAACAGCATTTCCTTGTGCTGGCCATCCTTGGTGACCCTCTTAGAATAGATAAAATGAATGTTCCTCTAGTCTTTTTAAAGTCCTTAAGATACTAATTTAAACTACTAGTTGGAGTCCAGCAGCAGTAGCAGTTGGCATTCTGTGCAGGCCTGTGTGAACCAAAAGATTTTGTCGGGTACTGATGTGTATGCTGTGTGCACAGTCTTAAAGTTGACTCTGGGTGTTTTTTTAGCAGCAGTTAGTTGTGAGTCTCAGCAATGCTATTCAGTTTTGTTTGCTGCAGTATGGTCCAAGGCTGTAGCAGCCAGATGGAGACTGCAAAGCTGATTAACTACAACAAGCTACTTTCAACTTGGCTTTTTACGAGAGAATACGCCTTAAAAACTTTTAGTGATGTAAGTGGAGCAGTACTCCTGTGATGTAATTTGGGCCACTGGTATCATCCGCCCATCCTCGAAAAATGAGGTTAGTCTCCGGTGTTGTTAAGTTGTTTTTATGTGCCACACTGTGCTCACAGCCTCAAACAGACAAAGCGCATTGTTTTACACCAGAAGAATTTAGAGCATCATTGAAATATGTGAGAATTATGTTAATTATGAGAAAACATGAATTGGAAATGACTGCGGGGCTGTTTGTGATTGGCCTGCAGTGGTTCTGTTGTCATCCTCCGTGTCTACAGCTCACAGGCCAAGAGACATGATGTAAGAAATAGTAATAATGTGATAATGTGTTCATGTGGAGTACTGGGGAGTTTACTGGGACACTGTCTTCTGGTCCGGGGGAGATCGTGTGCACTCTGCCAGCGGAACTGTTTTTTGTTTTTTTGTTGTTTTTATGTATTCTTTCGATACTCTTCCTTCTCCTTCTTCCTCTTCCTTTCTCTTTCCTTCCTGTCCCTCTTTCAGACTCATTTTCTGTTTTCAGGCCCACTGCGCTCACTAATGAAGAAATGAGTTGAAATACTCCTTGGTTAGAGAAGACTTTTTTAACAGTGCATAATGAAAATAGACATGATGTGAGCGTCATAGTGCTGTGAATTATATTATAAACAACATTGTTTAGTTTAGACCCCCTGCCTTTCAAGGCACCAAACGCATCTGCCTTCATTCCTCTGAACTAAGTAAACATGGTGAAAAACAGATTGGTACAAAGAAAAGTGAGCCAAAATGAATTAATTTTAATTGTTTATTTTAATTTTTGCCAATAATGTCTCTGTGGACTCCTCAGGGGGAGCCAATCACTTTCTGTGAGGAGAGCTTTGTGAACCATCGCTCGAGCACCATGAGGAACTTCCTGTCCATGGCTGTCAACCTGCAGCTCTTCAAACAGGTACAAACCGCTACAAACAGCTGTCTGTGTGTGTGTGTGTGTGTGTGTGGTTGTGTGTGTCAGAGATTCTTTGAACCAACATTAACTACTACTTTTGGTGAACTATAACCAGTAAAACTGATCTGACCCTAGAATATGTTTCAGTTCTAGACATATTTATCTTTATGCGTGCAAACTTTTACTCATCCTGAGATCATAATTATGTATAAAAAATCTGCTGTCACTTACATGGGCACATTGACGGATGCATAGCTCTATCTGTAAGCTATAGACAAGCACAAATAGAAAAAGATGACTGAGTGCTTATATGGTAGGTTACTCTGTCCTCTCCCATCAATGTCATGTTATTTTTGAGCTGTTTATTTTTGAGCTGATTTTTTATTTAGAAGGGTGAAAGTCTTCATTTTTACAGATGAAAGTTTTCTCTCAGCACCCCTTGTGCTCAGCAAACTGTCAACTGGGTAAAGTTAGCATTTAGTATCTTGACAGTTCAGTTGTTTAGAGTGAGGAGAAATGAAGAAGAGAGAGGCCTGGGATTATAGACGGTTATTGACCCCTAGAAACAGTTTACTGTGGTTATCTCTCAACACACATCTTAATGTCTCTCTGTAAGCTATATTTTGCCACGTGTATAAACAAAACTATAATAACTTATAAATGCTTTTACTTTACAAAACCATATCAAGGCTGTGTTGTGTCTTTAACATCTATTTCCAAGCCTGTAAAAGCAAAAAAGGTGGTATGGATTTTAACTTGGTCCTCAGAAAATTGAATTTGCAACTCCACTGTGGTCATATTTGTATTTATGAGCAGTGTTGGTAGAGGATATATGTGTGTGTTCGTGTGTATGTGTATGTGTTTGTAGCAGGTATGCTTTATTCATGTGTGGTTACATGAGTTTCCCTTAAAATCACTCATGTATACTTAATATGTTTTCCCCCCCAAATCCCTTCAGCAATACTAAACTTAGCCGAGCCACCGCCGAGCAGAGAGACACCTCTGGCTCCGAAGAAAATTTCCTCTCACCCCTTGAATTTTTCTTTGTGCTCTCTGACCCGTGATAGTAGTGTGATTTACCCACGAGAGTTACAGCACAGCGGCCCTCAATCAGCCTTTTGTTTCTCTGGACACTCTGCCCTGTCTATAATTTTCCCAGGCAGAGCAGATAGCAAGCAGCAGTTCAAAGCATCCTCCCGGCTGGCTCCTGCCTCAGCGGTAGCATTGGGAAACAGGCCCTTATCTCCTCCTCCTCCTCTCCAGCACGGGGGATGGGGTGAACTTATCTCCTCCACTCCTCTTTCGACTAAAGTGAGAGAGGCCAGCGGTCCGCCCGAGCTCTGCTCTGGCCATGACCCATATCCGCTCCCAAACAATACTCAACTTGCATGACCACACACATGCACGCATTATTTTTTATATACATAAGAATGCACTCTGGGACTGGAGATGTTTGGATTTTTTCCAGTACTTCTGCTGCTTGTTTTATTATTTATTGTTTTTAGTGTGTTATTATATTTTAAGCCTTTTGTCTTGTTATGCGTGTATAAGCCAATATATTGTCTTCATTGTCAGTATATTGCACATTATTTATAGGCCTGTAAGTAGGACTGCTGTCTTATCTGTATTCCCCCTAATTAAATAACAAAAATAGCATTTGGCCACATACAGTGAGTAATAAATGTTGGCTGCTATTTTATTTGTCATATATAAAAAACTGATTAAAATTAAATTCAGATGTTGCATTGCTGATACTACAATAAATTAACCATATACAGTAGCACACCGTTTTTTAAAACGTTTTATTTAGTTAATTATGTTGCTTGTTTTTGTCCCTATTCTCCAGCTAAAGTGAACAGTTTGTGCTTTATGTCCCAATGGGATTGTTGACAGAGGGGAACCACAGGGCTGCCATTTGTAAGCTTGGGTAGTGTAAACAGACAGGTTGGGTTGCTCAATTATGAAGCAAGCAATTATTAGTGCTAGTTAGTCTGAATATGAGTCTCTAATACAATATATTCAATGATTTATGTCCTTTATTCACTTCCACACAATTCCCTAAGTGTAGGATTTGTCACTGTCAGTTATATGTCAGCAATACTAGGTCAAACCTGAGCCAAATTCAAACCATATTATTGGAATTGGTTGAGCACAACACACATTACACACACGGTGAAGAACACACGAAAAATATTGAGGTGTTACCTGAGTTTGAGGTGTCGCCATCTCGGCAGGAAATTGCTTTTCTACAGGTGATTTTGTTTTCATTACTTGTAAAGCAGCTCTTTTGCTTCATGATCAGCCACAGCATGGAATTGATCATGCAAATTCAGGGAAACATTAATACTCTAGGAGCTGAATGGCCTAGTGGACAGAGAGACTATTGTGGGGTGTCACGTGACATTGAAGGCCATCAATGACTTTCAGTACCCCTATTGAAATGTATCATTGTAAGTAGATACTTACTGTAAGTTGTTTTGGATAAGAACGCTTTCTAAATCACAAAAATGTAAATGATTCTTTTTTTTTTTCTCATTCACATATATCTAAGCTGTTGAGTGCATTTGAGTCCTATTATCTTGTGCCTCTGTGAAATACAGACACTAAGCCTACCATAAAATAATTATATACACATACACGCCTCTGAAAAATGTCACAGTTTCACCTTTTAACACACTTCTCTTATGTTCCTGGACATTGTCCTCTCTGCTCGGTCCAACAGACCATCCTGTGTTCACAACAAGTGGGAGAAGTCTTCCAAAAGAATGCGGGGGAAAGCCTGTCGACATTAACCTGCTTCCTATCAACCATCCTCAGCTCCTACACACTTAAATTCTCACACACACGCTGTCGTGTGTGTGTGTGTTGTGTTAGAAGAGACTGATTCAATGAAGTCTCTTCCTCTTATTGACAAAACTAAGGCATACACAGTTTTATTGAGTCTGTAGGGGGACTTGTGCTCTGATGATTTACTGCCAGGAGCCTTTGTAGACAGTGTGCGTCCCATCAATCAATAATCATCTGTCATTCTCAGTGTATATGAATGCAATAGCTGAGTTGTTTGTCGAAAGGTGTGTCCTTGCAAAACCAAGTTATCTGATTTCAAATCTGAACTTGTGGTTGCTCTGTCCGCTCCGTGGGGTTCAAAAGACTCCATATCACAGCAGTTACAGTGAGCAGGAAAACTGAAATGTATTACAACCAATGGGACTAGTGAATAAAACTAGGTGCCACCACCATGGCCAAAAGTGTAAGTAAGTGTGAAGTGTTTTGAGATGCACTAGCGGTTTCAAAAACTCTTACTTCTTTTTTTTTTTTAAATAGTTTTTCTATAATGACGTCTTATGACGTGTATAGTTATTAATTAGTTAATGGCCTTAAAAATATGTTATGCTATACCTTTTGTTTGATCGGTCAAGGAGCGATAGTGGTTGCCACTTACTCTGCCAAAATTGTATTTCCATGCTCTACTAACTAGCAAAGATGGTGGCGAGCTGTAAACCCAAATCCAAACTTCCTCTCAGAAACCTATGAGTGACGTGATTTCCGCCATATTCCTGAGTATGTGCAGTTTATGGGCTAAAATTCCACAAATGAGACCCAGGTTGCAAACAAAAAAAGACATTTCCTTTAGGTTCTCCATGTATATCTCTGTAAATGAACCCCTGTAGAGTTCTAATCCCAACTTCTGGCTCCACAATTCCAGAGTTTAAATAAATCTAGACCACTGTGACCGAGTCGTGAGTGAGTCAATGTGCTGCTGGTAGCCAGATGGAATAACTCTCTACTGTCTGCAACTAAAACATCAACAGGAAACAAGATGACATGTAGACATGTGGAGATGGAGCAGGACTCATGTTGAAGTGTGGAACTCATTGTGTCTCAATCTGTTCTGCATGTTTCGATTTAACTTTATTCACACATGTAGTTTGGGTTGAGTAAACGTCAAAAACTATTTAAGTGAAATTATTGTCTTTGTTGTTAATGAAGTCGATTTGTTTTTCATATTTATTTATTGAATCCTCTACACTTTGTTTGAATGAAGCTGGTCCTGATGTGATCCTAAACTGAAATTATTTTTTGTTTATTTGAGAGAGTTTTTGTTCTGTTTTTTTTTTTTTGTGCTTTCTCTCTCAAAACAAAGAAAATGAGCCCTTGTATTGTGTATGTGCTTTTGTGTATGCGCACACTTGGCTTGCATGTGTGTGAGAGTGTGGTGATCACAGCCTGCCATTGTTGAGTAATGTCTAATTAAGGCCCACAGTGAGGCAGGTAATCTGGCTGGGGTGTGTGGAGGGAGTCGGGAGAAAAACGTGTCTGAGCGGAGTTCCGGGGCGACGGGGGCGGCGCGCGGGAGGGGGCGGGGGCGGGGGCGGGGGGGGGGCGCATAAAGTGGCCAGCGCTTGGCTAGGTGATGATTTGGGTTGATTATGTGCACTAATTGGGCCAGCCAAGCAGCGGAGCAGTGGTTGGAACCTGAAGTCTCACCTCTCATTAAAATGATCTAATGATGAGTTTCCAGCTCTTCTGACCAGAGGAGCGGGTGGCCGTGTCGGTCGCTAGTTAGCAGACTGTCCCTGAGGACACGCACCCTAAAACAACCTACACTGTTGTAACATTTTGGACACACTTGCAGAGGTGGGAGTGGGCTCGCTACAGTTGAGAAATGATCTGACAATTTGTCGCTGTCAAGTATTTTCTTTAAAAAGAATCGTGTACCATTTGTTGTTGTTCTTGAAAATATACAAAGGAGTGCTTGAAAGGTAGGAGGTGTTGATTGTTAATTAATGCAATCATCAGTCAAAAGGAATTTTAGTCTTAAATCCAAATGCTTATACTAATTATTTTGAATGACACCATTACTGGTTGTTAGTTGCTTTTTCCTCCTACCTTACACAAATAAACTCTGACAAGGTTAAAAACTATAGATTTTAGTTTAAGGTTGAGCACAAAGAACTAGAAGAAAGTTAGTTTTTCAGGACTTCAGCAGACCTTGACCTTCTCCACATCTTGAAAATGAAAGAAAAGTGCTACATTGCAGCTGCTTGTTTTTTGTATTTTTTTACACCAGAAACTTGCCAAGCTCAAGGATTTCACTGGAGAGTATTATTTCCACGCAGAGATTTGCTGATATTATAAGTGATGTGACAGGAAACTAACAGCAACTTTGGGGTCAATGCGGTCGGATTTAGCTAATAGAAAACAGTGCACCATGTGTGTGACTGATTGATCTACATTCACATAAGATGTTCTTCATGTTCAATATTTAGAAAGATACAAAAACTACAATACATAACTGGGCCTGTAAACTTCTTGAAAAGCTCTTATAATGGGCCAAAATGATAAGAAATGTGTTTTAAAACCATTATTGACATCATTTGTTTTTTCTCACATGCTTTAATATCTAAAGAATGCTGTTGTATTTTTTTGTGCTAATCACAAATGTCCAGCTATGTGTGTGTCAATGTATGTGTGTGATTGCTTGTACTTGCGTAACATATTTACATGACTCTGTGACTGTGCTCATGAAATGTGTAGCTGTCTTGGCTATTAGGTCGATGTTTATGAGATGGAGTTTTATGCGCTCCATGTTACAAAGGGAGGAAATGAAACTTCCTCATGTCTCAGACAGTGTGCAGCATGTAGTCTGCTGCCCTAATCCCTCACCTGCTCCACATTACTAAATCCCTATTACCTGCAACCCACCTAATCTTGGGATGTAGTTTCTGTCAGGTAGGATTAATAACACCCCACTGTGGCCTGAGTGTTTGAATCTGTGTGTAAGTGTATGTGTATCTGTTTAAGTGTGTCCACATCCACCTCCGCCTCCTCCCGTCTTTAATAAGCACGTTGTAATTTATGGTTGTAGTTCATCGACGGACGGCTGGCCAAATTGAACGCAGGCCGCGGCTTCTCCGACGTGTTTGAAGAAGAGATCACAGAGGGGGGCTTCTGTGGAAGTGAGTAGTGCTAGACCTGTCTCTGTCTATCAATTAGCCACATTATATTTATTTGCCATATTTCATACAATAGGCAATAGTTGTTGTGCTTTAAAATCTGTGAACAAAACAAGGAGAAACCATTAAAGTTATGAAAATAAAATCTTTAAAATCTCTAAAACAATTGAACATACAAACAATCTTCTAAAACAATGATAAACTGCTTAAAAAGGTGGTAAATTATGTAGTATACTCTACCCTTCTTGTATGTTTTAAAAAATTTTAAAGCATTTCTGGTCCATAACTACTTAATGTTTGAGTCACCTTTAAAGGGTGTAAGTACTAATGGACTAATGAACTGTATTGTCTTTGGAAGAACTGAATTTAATTATTATTTATTTAAAAACTACAAAATTACAGTATACTTTAAATTATGCCTTAACATGACTTTTGAGTGTCATTTATTGTGAGAAAAAAAATTCTCTTTGGAACTGATACAAAGGGTACTTTGTAAATGTGATTGAATGTGGCAAAAGAAGATTGACGACAGAGTTAGCAATGTTTTGGCAGGATTGAGCTTTATTACAAGTGAAGACAAGACACCAGTCTTGAAATCCCACTGGAATGCTTAGACAAATTATATTGTTTTGATCATATTACTTCAGGTTTGAGTCGTATTTACAGGACAAGAAAAATAAATGCCATCCAGATGTTGCACCTTAATATCCGTTGTTTTATTTGGCTTTCAATTCAGATACTGACCCAAACCCACGCTGTCATCTGTAATTCTGTTCTCTGAACATTTGATAGCAAACCCTGGATACCAAAAAAAAATCTCCACTATAAAACTAACAATACTTATCTTACATTCAACCATGAATATTTTACTTAATTATTATTGATTATATCTCAAAAGAGTCTGCAATTTAAAATGTGTCACTGTATAATATACATAGTTGCCTTTGCTTTGCAATTTTAATACAATGTTATTAAGTGCAAAATTATTTATTAATATTTGCTGTGTTTTATGCTTCCCTCCAGGTAATTCAAGGTCTTACCAGCAATGGATGCACACTGTAAAGGTATCAGAGCGCGCTGCATATCATACCTAAATGCTTTTATCTTATGGCTTTTTTTTTTCATGTTTCACTCATTTTATTCCCGGGTTATATTTAATTAAAAGTGTGATTGACACAACTCAGTGTTTGAAGTCCTGATGTTGCCTTTGGAATGAAGGGGGCTGCCTTAATGTACAGATCCAGCGCGAGTGCAGTTTGGTGTGTGAAGCGGCGCGTGCAGCAGGACAGTGGAGACAGACAGGAAAGGGAGACAGAAGTGATTTGACGTGACAAGACGTCCTCCGACATGACATGTTGATCTGGCAGCAAAACACAGGCGTTACTCCGCTGAACCGACCCAAGAACATAGATCTCTCCCTCCTACTTCATCTCCTGTCTCTTTCCTTGCTCTCCTTTTCTTCCACTATCTATCTCTCTTTATCTTCTCTCTCTCCTTCTCATCTCTGTCACAGCCCCCCCTCTGTCTCTGTCTCTCTCGTGTCTCTCTCTCTCTCCTCTCGCTCTCTCTCTCTCTCTCTCTCTCTCTCTCTCTCACTCCCTCACCTCTCACTCTCTCTCACTGAGTATCTCTCCCTCACCCTCCCTCTCTCTGCACGCCATCAGCTAAGGCTGAATTAGTTCTCTAGAGTGCTCTTCAAAGGTTTGTTAAAGTTCACATTTCCTGACTGACAGGGATCTATAAGAGGGGCCTTCACCTCGGCCCCTCTCCTCCTCTCTCTACCGACTTCTGAAACGCTGTCTGCCATTTACTCTGTTTAGTCGTTTAGCCGATGCTTTGTGCTTACACTAAAGACCAAACAGAGAAAAAGAGTGAGACGCCAAATGAGAGATGTAGCAACTCGGGGCGAGAGAAAAGAACACATGCACAGAGAGATATTGGGTGCCATAATGTCAGTCTGCAGAATTCAAAGTAGAAATCAATCACACACAGTCCCTTCCATCCCTTTTAGGCTGCTTCTAAATAAAAACCTCCTGAATGCTATGAATCATGCAGTTTATCATGGCTCAGCGATATGATACTTTGTCTGGTGTCACCATTTTTATAGTGAAGTTGTATTACAATACTATTTACAGCCGCAGAGGGAGTTTTGCTTTTGTTTTGATATTGAAAATGTGCTTTTTGTGACAGCTGAGGGGGTGGGGCGATATGGTAGAAATAATGATCACATTATTTATACAGTTACTGTACATCACAATATGACAAATGTATCTAAAATAATCAAACTGATTGCCAAAGCAACAAAGTGTTCACCTGTTGTGCTTTACGTGAGACAAAACTCCTCAATCAATCAGTTTTTTGTTAGCTTTTATCTTCAGCTCGCTCTGAGCCATTCATGTGGAAATTTTGGTGAGATTGTCACAGTATGATTGCAATAAAAGTAGATAAACATTAACAGTATTGCTGAACCCTACCTGTGTGCATACATGAATATTTAATATAAAAAAATAATTACTTTGAGTGTGTGTGTGTGTGTGTGTGTGTGTAGAAGCTCACCCAAAATGCCTCTAAAGTGACTGACTAATAAGTTCTGTGTCTATTACAGAGAGGAGGAGCACTCTTCAACACAGCTGTGACAAAGGTACGTTCTTCTGCAAAACCGCTTCAGTCACATTAGTGTAGTTTAATGAGCCGTTTTCTTTAATATGTACATAACTTGAAACATCAAGTCCTGAAAATCCTATTGAAATAGACCCCATTTGACATTTTGCAGGTTGTTTGGTGAAAATTAATCAGTCTGTGAATAAACAGCAAATGAATTTAAGAAAACTGCCTGTTTTGGAATTGACAGTGGAAGGATTGGGAGCATTGTTCAGGACTATGTTTGATGAGCAAGTACCATGTCGTTATGTGCTGTACAATAGGTGGTCAGGGTGCCCTTTCATGTTATCGCCTCCTGTTAGTGTGCGAGGCTCTCTTATCCAGCCTTTTGTCTCCGTGTTTTTGCCACAGGGATCAAAGCATTTCTTGATGTTACATGAAACCAGAGCAGAATGTTAATGGAACATGTTTTGATTAGTAATCTGTGTGTGTGTGTGTG